TACATATATCCATCATTATAATATTATACAAAATGTTTTCACTACCTTAAAAATCTCTGTACTCTACCATTCCTTCCTTCCTTCCCATTTATCTTTTTACAGCTTCTATTGTTTTGCCTTTTCCAGACTGTCCATAGTTGGAATTGTATTGTATGTAGTCTTTTCAGATTGCTTTCTTTCACTCAGTAATGTGCATTTAAGTTTCCTTCATTTATTTTTGTGGCTTGATAGCTTATTTGTTTTTAGTGCCAACTAACAGTTAGTTGTCTGGGTGAACCAGTTTATTTGTCCATTCACCTACTCAGGGACATCTTGGTTACTTCCCAGTTTTGGCAGTTATGAATTAACTGTTGTGAAGTTTATGTAGAGGTTTTGTGTGAATATAATTTTCAGCTCCTTTGGACAAATACCAAGAAGTATGATTGTTAGATCATGTTGTAAGAATATTTAAAAAACATTTTTTTCACGTGTTTGATTTTTTAAGAAACTGCCAACCTGTCTTTCAAAGTGGCTGTACCATTTTGCATTCCTGTAATTAATGAATGAGATTTCCTGATGTTCCATATCCTCACTAACATTCAGTTTTCTCAATTTTCTAGATTTCGGCCACTCTAATAGTTGTGTACTGGTGTGCCATTGTTGCTTACATTTCCCTGGGATAGCAAATGATATGAGACATCTTCTTTTTTATGTTATTTGCCATCTCTATGTATGTGTGTGTGTATATAATATATATCTCTCTCTATATAATATATACACACACATATATATATGTATATACTTTTTAAATATTTTTTAGTTGTTGATGGACCTTTACTTATTTGTATGTGGTGCTGAGAATCGAACCCAGTGCGTCATGCATGCTAGGCAAGCGCACTACTTCTGAGCTACAACCCCAACCCCTGTATATATTTTTAAAAAGAGGTATCTGTTAAGGTCTTTGACCCATTTTAAAATTAAGTTATTTTCTTATGTTGAGTTTTAAGAATTCTTTGAAAATAAAAATTTAAAAAGAATTCTTTGTATATTTTGCATATTAGTCTTTTTTCAGATATGTTTTTGAAAATATTTTTCTCAGTCTATAGCTTCTCATTTTGTTCTCTTCACAGTATCTTTCACAGAGTAGAAATTTTTTATTTTAGTAGCATCCAGTTTATCAATTCTTTCTTTCATGAATTGTACCTTTAATGTTACTTCTAAAAAGTCATTGTCAAACTCAAGGTCATCTAGATTTTCTCTTATGTTATCTTCTAAGAGTTTTTTAATTTTAATTTTACATTTAAGTCTGTGATCCATTTTGAGTTAATTTTCGTAAAAAGTTAAGGTCTATGTTTAGATCCATTGTCTGCCATGTGAGTTACTAGCACCATTTGTTGAAAAGGCTATCTTTTCTCCTTTATATTATGTTGGTTATTTGTTGACATTCAGTTGACTTGGGCTGGATGTGTAACTCAGTGGGAGAGTGCTTATCTAGCATGTGTGAGGCCCCAAGTTTAATTCCCAGCATTGCAAACAAGCAAACAAAAAAATGTGTTTGACTATAATAATGTGGTTCTGGGTTGTCTGTTCAGTCCCATTGATCCATTTTTCTGCTATTTCACCAGTACCACATGTCTTGATTACTATAGCTTAATAGTAAATTTGAATTGGAGTTGTCGGCACTTTGTTGTTGTCCTTCAATATTGTGTTGGCTATTCTGGGTATTTTTGCTGCTCTCTATAAACTTAAAGATTAGTTTGTTGATATCTATAAAATAGTTTGCTGGAATTTTCATTGGGATTGCATTGAGTCTATAGATCAATTTGGGAAGAAATGACATTGTAACAATATTGTTGTCTCATTCTTAAACATGAAATATCTTTTTGTTTATATAGTTCTTGATTTTTTAATCAGTCATTTTCTTCACATAGATTTTTAAGTATTTAAAAAATTTATATCTATGTATTTCATTTTGGGGGATGCTAATTTTTTTTGTGTGTGTGTATATGTGTTGCTGAGGATTGAACCCCAGGCCTTGTACATGCCAGGCAAGCTTTCTACCACTGAACTATAGCCCCAATCTAATAGTATTATGTTTTTAACTTTAAATTCTTGTTCATTTTGCTATAGGTACTATTTTTATTCTTATCTTATGATTGAGAAAATTTATATTTAAAGAAGTCAGTTGCCTTACCTGAAGTTGAATATAGTAAATATGCTTTCTGATTCCATTTATGCAACTCAAGTATCAATTATTTATTGAGCATCTGTTATATGATAAGATAGATACCGTTCTAGAGCTAGGGATACAACAGGGAATAAACAGACAAAAAAAATCTGTGCCTTCAGGAGCTGGGACTCAACAGAAGAAACTATATAAAATCTATGTCTTCATGCAATTTGTATTCTATTGGGAAGACAGATAATTAGATAAAAATGTGAAACAATATATCCTGTAGTGGTAAGACCATTACCAAATAAATTCCTTTATTTTAGAAAATAAAAAGATTAAAAAAAAGAGAAAGGGATTGTGTGTGTGTGTGTGTGTGTGTGTGTGTAATGTAGATGTTGTAGCCATCTCAAAAAGAGGATAGAAGACTTAAATGAAGTGAAGGAGATAAGCACATACAAGAAATGTGATCCAGACAAAGGAAACAGCATTTGCAAAGATGAGGACAAGAACATGCCTGATGTGTTTAAGACACCAAAAGGAGTCCAATGTTGCTGACATGGAATAAATGAAATGGAAATAATTAGAAGTATGTGAGACCAGTGAAGTAACATGCAGCAAAATTATGTAGGCCTTAAGGATTATTGTAAGAGAAAAAAGGGTTTTGAGCAGAAGAGAGACATGGAATTTTACTTATGTAAAATTTAACTTATGATTTCTGCTGACATCATCTGATTACTCTATTGAGAACATACTGAAGGGGAGCAAGGGTAGGATCATGGAGACCAGCTAGAAAGCAATTAACGATAACCTAGGTGAGAAAAGTTGTTGGCTTAGTCCAGGGTGATACCCAGTGGAGGTAGAAAGGTGTGGTTAGGTTTGCTAGATTAATGGGGGGAAGAGGGTGAGAGAAAGAGATTATTCAGGGATGACTTCAAAGTTGTTGTTTTTTTCTTTTTCTTAGCAGTCAGAAGAATGGAATTTGCTGAATGAGGAAGACTATGGGAAAAACAGATTTGGGGAAAGAAGTTTGGGAATTCATTTTTAACATAGTTGAGATGCTCATCAGATATCTGTTTGGAGAGACTTGGGTTGGAAGTTTGAGAGAGGTCAAGTTTAGATATATAAATTTGGGAGATGTTAATATGTTTATGGAATTTAATGCTATACATCAAGATAAGAGCAAAAGAAAAATATAGGTAGAAAGGAGAGAGTGTTCAAGTTCAGAGCTTCATTCTAGCTCATCTTAAAGAGCCTAAATTCTTCATGATTACTATCCTGTATTGGTGTTTCTAGTATTATAGTTAGTACTCATTAAAACCTGAGTTATGGAGGCTGCCCTCAAGAAGCTTATGATCTATTTGGGGAAACAAAATATGTGACATACCCATAAAGTATTTAAGTTAGATACAAAGTTATACATGATTACCTGTCAGAATAGCCGTGAAGGACTATAAATTTACCTGTCTTGCAGATGAAAGGATTACTTTGCGTAGAAACGATAGGCAGAGGTCTGTTGGAGAACATGGAACTTGCACTGAACCCCGAGTAATGGGCAACAGATGGGAAAATACACTTTAGAATATCCCCAGATCTACCCTTAGGTTCAAAATTTGCAAGAATGATTCACAGAATATTATATATATATATATATATATACATATATATATATGTATATATATATATATATATAAATTACAGAGAAAGAAAAGGCACATAGGGCAAAGTGTAGGAGAGTGCCAGGTACGAACTTTGAATTGTCTTTTCCCAGTGGAATTGTGTGGACAACACCTTTACCAGCACCGATATGTGGCAATACTCAGACAATGGCTGATCAGAGAAGTTCACTTAAGCCTTGAAGTCTAGGTGTTTTATTAGGGTATGGTTGTGTGAACATGACTAACCACCCAGGTAGACATGACTGACATCCATGTTGCTGATTGCCTGTATTGCTAACCTAAGTCTTCAGCCCCTTAGAAAGCTAAAAGGATGAAGCTCCTCCCAATAAATCACACTGTTAAGGCCTCCAAGAGGCAGAGAGGACCAAAGGCTTCCATTTCAGGAGCCAAGGCCAAGGTTAGTTCTTTACCACATGGTGAACGGTGGGGAGGATGTCCTCTAAGTGGCAATGAGTATGAACTGAAATACATCAGGCATGTGATGCCATCTTTAGAGAATATTGTAGTGACTACAATATGACCTTGTACTTGAGAATATGAACAGTGGAGCTAGATTGCCAGCATTCATATCCTAGCTATCATTTGCAAATTGTTGAGTTTACAGCAGTTACACATCAAGCAAAACAATAATAATAATAATAATAATACCTACTTTATGGGATTGTTGTGAGGATGAAAGAGTTAATATACAAAGTACTTAGAACATGGCTGATACATAGTAAATGCCATAGATACCATGAGTTTGTTCCTTCATTCCTTATTCACATGTAGATTCCTTTTTTAATTAATTAATTACTTTTTATGTGGTGCTGAGGATTGAACCCAGTGCCTCACACACGCTAGGCAAATGCTCTGCCACTGAGCTATAGCCCTAGCCCTGCTGCTTTTTTTTTTTTTTTTGAGCACTAGTATAAGACTTGTATTTGGCACTTATCTTCTGAGCCTCAGATCTTTGCTTGTGGATAACTAGTGATATATTTTGAGGGTTTTTGGTTTTTTAATATTACCATGTTCAAAAAGAAGTGAAATATTTTCACCAAAATTATTTCTATTGAAGACAATACCATCTTATTTGTTTAGACTTAATCTCTAGTTGTTACAAAAATTGGACTTATAAAGAATAAATTTTGGTGAACTGGGAAGTTAATTTTAGTTTTCTTATATATATGCAGGTCGGTGTATGATGATCAACCAAATTCACACAAGAAGTTTATGGAAAAGTTAGATGCTTGTATCCGAAATCATGACAAAGAAATTGAAAAAATGTGTAATTTTCATCATCAGGGTTTTGTAGATGCTATTACAGAACTCCTTAAAGTAAGGACTGATGCAGAAAAACTGAAGGTAGGAAATATGTTAAAATTTTGTTTTCCTTTGTTCTTATTAAATTACTCAACTATTATAGTACAAATCTGAAGTTACTATTAAATGCGCTTTCAGGAACTGAATTAGTATATGTATTTGGGAATGCTCTTTATGGCTGTTAACTCGGTTGTCATGCTAATGACAGGAGTAATCTCTTTTTTTCTAAAGCAAGTAGTACATTGACTTAATAGGATTTTTTTCCACCCAGGGAAGTGAATTCAAAACATTCATACAGTGTAAGGTCCTGTTTGCAGTTTTAGAATTTTTAAAATGATAATTAATACAATGTTGATTTGAAAACATCCTAAAATTGTTTAAAATTTACTATAAATGATTTTGTTCTCAAAATTATTTAATTATACTGTAAATTTGAAATAATTTAACAGCAGTTTATAATTTTTTAAAGGAAGATGGTCTACATTTTCTGTCATATAGTAAAAATATTATATATTAAATGAGACCTGGATTTTTTCAGTAAGAATTTAAAATATTTAGTTATAAGAATTGTCCTATTTATCTTTGCATTTAGAGTGCTTAGCAGACAATTCAAAGATTATGATTAGAAAACTATTATGTATTATATATAAAGGATATTCAGATAACAAGAGACCAAATACAGCATCAATGAGGTCACTGAGCATCTTTGTTCAGAAATTAATGAGATTTTTAATAAACCAGAATGTGCTTCCTTACTATGATGACCTAATGAGTCACTTAATATGTGGGAAAATTTGAGGTTGAGCTTTGCCTGCACCTGCAGCATTAAAATGTTGCTGTGGATTGAGATTTCCGTGTTTGATGTTAATCAACCACCCAGTGTTTGCATTCAGCAAAGTATGAATGTTTAATTACCATAAAATGCAATCACCATTTCCTACAGACAGTGAATGGCACATAGACCTCATTGAAGTTATCAAAAAGGGACCAGTGGTCAATTGGGTCAGTGATTTGAATTGTTTGACAGACTTAGAGAAGCAAGTAAAGTTCAAAAATCCTGAGTAAATTTGAGAAGTTTGCCACAGAATCTGTTAAAAAGAACTGTCATAAGTAATTGAAGTTAACAAAAGCCCTTTTCAATCAAAAGTTCAAGTTCAAGCTGTAGAGTTAATTTGAATTTGCATTTCTTTGTTCTAAGTTTCTCATGAAGCATGATCTGATTACAAGGGTGAGCAGTTACATCAGGGCAGTTTTATGCATATTTGTCTAACTAAGGTGAAATTATTTTTAAGGTACAAGTTACTGATACCAACCGAAGATTTCAAGATGCTGGAAAAGAGGTAAGAAAATGATAATTTTTAAAAATATATGTGGGTGTTATTTAATTGTTTTTTTAAAAGATGTGTATATTTCTTCTTTTCTAAGGTGATAGTCCAAACAGAAGATATTATTCGATGTAGAATTCAGCAGAGGAATATTACAACTGTAGTAGAAAAATTGCAGTTATGCCTTCCAGGTGAGTTTAATTTTACCAAGTCAAACATTATTTTATAGACAAATTTCATAATAGCATATAGTCATTCTTTATTATGGGAATTTGATTATTTGGTGATTGCCTTGCAAAAAAGCTTTTGATTACCTCTCTTATTCACTCAATTTCATGAATTTCCATGGTTTTCTTTTTTATAATAAGGCCCTTGTTTGATTATCTGTTATAGCAGTATCCTAGAACAACTGTTAGTTTTGCACTTCCTCTCTGCCTACTTTGCTATCTGTCCACTCCAGCCCCCTGCCCTGTCCATGTTTTTTCCCCCCTCAGAATACTTTCCCATGCAGAGAGTGCCCATTACTTTTTCTCATCTTTGCCTAATTTGCCTAATTTTCTTACTTCTAGTTTTCCATCATTTTCTGTTTGTCACATAACAGGTTGGTTTTGTTTTGCTCACAATCTCATTTTGCTGATAAGGTAAGGAAACATCAAAAGTGTTAGGACTTTTCCCTTCTTGCTTTTTCTCCTATATTTTGGAAAGACTTAGTTTCTGGTCTCTCTGTTAGGGCTCAGATATTACTGGGACATCACATAAATTCTGAAGAAACTAATCAGTATTTTCTTTACCTGGATTTAATATAACTTTAAGTTGGAAGCATCCTGTTCAAACAAAAGGAAGCAGGTATATGCCATTTTTTTCTTAATATTGTAAGCTAAAGTTGTCTCATTGTCTCATTTGACTTATTAATTTTTAGGAAGGAACCTAAACCTATGCATCCAGGGGAATAGAATGTCTTGTATAATATTTATATGGTGTAAATTTAACTTAGAATACAAATTATATTGTTAAAACTGTCAGCAGATTTTATTGGCTAAAGAAATAGCTTTTCTTTTTTTAGAATCAGTGATAGCCTACTAAGTTTAATCTTTGATGGGCCAGCGATATTTACACATAAACTTTGAGTAAATAAAATACCTACTTATAATATTAGGTTTCAGGATTGAGAAACATATTTCTTTATAATGATGTTTAATATATGTTTGGCTGATATATCATAACAGCCATGAAGACAGCCTCTCAAGATTTATACTTTGTCCCTTTTTAATTTAGATAATAAGCCTAAAAATTGGTATTGATGGAATGAGAAAGAGCTGCACTCAGCTTTTTCTGTTAGTGAGCTATTCATAAGAGAAATAAAGGCTTCAAACTAGAGGTCAAGTTGTTGTTATTGTCACTGTCTGCTTTTAAGGCCAGAGAGCATTGTAAGTTCATGTAAATATTGTGTTCTGAATTGCAACATCCAGCATGACCACATTTCATTGTATAATTGTTGCAGATTTTATGCCAACTTTTTTTTCAAAACAGTGGGGTGTGACCATTATGTGAAGCTTTTTAAAATAATAAATTGTGCTGGTATTACTTAGAAATCATTTATTACTAACCTGTCTTTGGTCCAAGAGTAAGTTGCACAAACTACTTGAGAATATATGTTAAAATTGAATAGTACAAATTGATGTACATTATCTTCATGACAGTTTAGCCAGTTTAGTGAACATTTTCTGGTCTTTATAAAGAAGTTAACTTATTGTTATTAATTTGTACATTATAGTCAAAATACTACACTTGAGAAAATTTACTATAGTGTTGTGAAGCGTAATCTGACAAAATCTAATCATCTGCATCTGAAGATTCTGTGCTTGCTATCATTGATTTTGTTATCTGACACATTGTCCTCAGTGCTTCTCATGTAAAATGTATTGATAATACATCAGTACTGCAGCATTCTAAGCCAATTGCTCAAGTCAGCTTTCTGAAATATACTGACAATGAACAAGTGCTGAAAATTCTAGGCTCTTGGCTTTTAGTGTGGGCAAAAACAAATGGCACATCCATATGCCACTGGTGGAATACATTGCTATTACATTTACCTTTTAAGCAGCATAACAAACAGAATTAATCTATGCAATGATTATGCTGTGAATGATTATTAACCAATTTTTGGACTGAAAAAATAGAGTGCAACAATTATGTAGTGAAATACAGTACCTCCTTTCCTCTGTCCATCCTTCTAAGTATCCAATGATAAATGATACTTACTTTTTTGTGTGTGTGTCAGGCATTATGGTAGGTATTGGAGATATAAAGTTGAAAATGACATAGTCCCAGCTTTAGAATGATTCTATAATCTAATGTGAATAAAGACAACTAAGTCATCAATTATAATACAGTTGCCTAACGACTCCTTGGTTTTGGAGGAGTGTGAGAGGATATAAGAATTCATAGCATAAATAATGCATTTTCTTGGTGGATTAGTTTTATTTGATTATTTTTGAAGAAAGCATAATTTTTATATGGAAACAAAGTAAAAATAATGAGGTAGATCTGAAATTTGTATGTATTATTGAGGTAAAACAGGAGACTTCAAAACCAGTTTATACTGTTGCAGCAGGATCTGTCCCATGTTAGGTGTTCATTCCAATACTTTGGTTGGAAAATGTGAGAATTATTATATTGTCTATAGGGGCTATGATAGAAATGTAGAGGGTCCTTTGAGGTCACAGAGTTAGGGCAGCTCACTGTAGCCACCATTGCAGGTCTGTTGTTTTTTGAACAAGTAAATAATTTCTTTAGTAAATTTGTAGACCCCTGGGAATAGCCATATAACTATAGCAAATCTGAAAAGAAAACTGTTGTCTAGTTCTAGGGAAATATGAGTTGGTTTGATGAGCCAATAATGATTTACTGACTCACTTTCAAATTCTACTAAGGTTAAATGGTCATTTATATGGTTGCAGTAAAGCCTTCTTGGTGATAGTAGGTCATTTTTTTTGAAGCTTATGACAATTTTATTGAATAACTGAATTTCTGTGCCTTAATAGAAAGAATGAAATGAATAAAGATGCTTTGCTACATTTTTCTTTTTTTCTCCAGAATTACACAATCTCATTTATTGGTGCATTATAGTTGTATATAATGATGGAATTTGTTACTTATTTATATATGCATTCAATATGCTATGTTTATTTCTATCTTTATTGTAAATCACTCTTTGCAGTAAACTTTTGATATTTTTCTTTCTTTGTAGATTTGGTGTAAGTTTTTGTGTTTGGTTAATTCTAAAACAGTTGTGTTTTTGTTTGGTATGTTGGGTCAGAATCAGTGAATCTCAGTTGAGAAAGAAAATTTAATTCTCAAATAACTAAAGTCCAAACTTCTAATTCCAGTTCATGGAAGAAATATTAGAAATTTCTGAATAGTATAATTTTTACTATGTTAATGTCTCAATTATAGGTATCAACATATGCAAGTGTTCCAGGTTCAAAAAATATATATATAAAATGTTCAATATCTACCTATCTATAAAATATTCAACATGTGAAAATTAAAATATTTTTATTTACTTTGAAACATATAATATTTATCAGAAAATATTAAGCTAATTCAATGTAGTGAAGACTATGATTTTGTAATATATCATTGCCTGTTTTAATTATTTTAATCTCTCAAAATGCTCTTTTTTTCCATTTTAAATGCTAAAATGTTATTTTTTGAATGCAGTGCTGGAAATGTATAGTAAACTAAAAGAACAGATGAGTGCAAAAAGGTAAGTTGGTTTCTTTCTTGTTATTTTAAATAAGCTTTTTTCCTATTACTGAAAGCACAGATAAACTTACTATAAAGCATAGTGAATTATGTGAATTTTGCTTTGTACTTCACATTAACCTTTTGTTCATGTAATTTGCTTATCAGGATCACCCAAGAAAGCAAACTTCAGTCACTTATTTATGAATATTTGTTGTTTTTGATATCAAAGTGATAATATTGATAAAGGGTAAATAGAGAGCTAAACAGGAATGAGAAAATTTTTATTAACTTGCCAGTGTACTAATACTGCATACAATCAAGGGCTTACAGACATAATGTGGAGTGAAGGCCAAGCGCAGTTTTGACCATCAGGGCTATTGTTCATATTCTGTTTTATAAAGAAATGAATACATGACAAAAGAAAAATAATTTAAATCATTTATTGATTGCCATTAGAGCATTAGCTATAACGATATTTAAAATGTTTTAAAATGAACAATTTTAAAGTAACATGGAAAAGCCAGAATAAATAAGATATATTTGGACTAGGAAAATATTTCTTCTTGGTTTATTAATAATCATTTCATTTTCACAGCACATTATATATAAATCTATGATCAAAGATTTGTGTATGCTCTGCTTTATAGTGCTACACATTGAATTTCATTAGGCTTTACCAGTTGGTATTAATTAGTAGAATTATTTTTTTCCTTATTAGTAAATAAGACAATATATATTTATTTTGTGTGTATACTATTAATGTATCCTCTTTTTTCTGTTGTTGTACATCCTCATGTTTTAAAGATTCAAATAGTAGTTTTATGTGTTTGTTGCAAAAAAAACAAAAAACAAAACAAAAATCAAGCATCACCTTCCTTAATTTTCATATACCATTCCTACTTCATAGAGGCAAAATTATCTTTCTTTTTTTTTAAAAAATTGCTTTTTGTTGTAGATGGACAGAAAACTTTTATTTATTTATTTTTATGTGGTGCTGCTGAGGAGCAAACCAGTGCCTCACATGACTAGACAAGTGCTCCACCACTGAACCCCAGCTCCCAATTTTCTTTCTTAACTGATTATTTTGGCATTTACATTTATGTATTCAAATAACTAACTTTTATTATTATCTTATTATTTTCTAGTTTAGGGCATTAATTTATTTTTTCAATAATAAAATCCAATATTTATATAAATATATAAATATTAAAATGTTTTAAATTATCCCCTGAATGTCTTATATCTTCTTCCCTGAAAACATTGTTTGGTATGTCTTTTTTATTTCTTTTAATCTAGAACAGTCCTCCTGCCTTTCTTCATTTTTCATGAAAAAGTCCAGGACAATTCTTAAAGATTGCATTTTAGATTTGTCTGTTTGTTTCCTCATGATTAGATTCAGGGTAAATGTTTTGGCAAGAGTATGATATAAGTGTTCATTGTGTACCTCTTCATCTTATGACATGAGAAGGCATTTACTGTTAGGTTGTTTCTAGCTAATGCTAAATTTGATCATTTGGTTAAGGGGACTAGATCTCTTTTGGAAAGGTTTATTTTTATCTCTGCAATTAATAAGTAATCTGTGAAGTGACACTTTGATACCTGTTTCCTAATAATCTTTTACCCAGTGGTTTTAGGATTCTTGCTTTAATCAGTTATTATATGGGACTTATAGTTTCTTTTTAAAATGCTATCATTGCTGACTTTTTCATATAAAGAATTTTCCTTTTCATCTGCCTTTTCCTTGCTTCTGATTATTGCTATGGATTTATGAATTTTTAATAATAAATGTCTCATAATTTATTAATGTCATTATTCCATTTGATGCATAGATTGTTATAAATTTTGCTAGAGAAACCCTCAAGCCAGTTTCTTTGTCCTCATTTGTCTTTGTATACTTTCTTGCTTGTTGTACAATAAGATGATCTAGCATCTCATTTTATTTTTCTTGCCCCAAACTTGGAAACAATTCTTTAAGGTACATTGGTCCCTCTAAGTCAGTAATGGTATTTAGAATAATTAAGATCTGCATATAAGATGGGCTTATTGTCCACACACACACACACACACACACACACACACATATACAAACAGTGCCCCCCTTCCTCTGTCTCATTCCTTCTGTCTTCCAGGATTGCCATTGAGAAGTTTGAAGATTACCACCTTTGCCATTGAGAAGTTTGAAGTCATTGTGATTTCTCCTTCATTTGTGACCTATTTTTTTTTTTTTGGTACTGGGGATTGAACTTGGGGTCACCCAGCCCTATTTTGTATTTTATTTAGAGACAGAGTCTCTAAATAATGAGTTGCTTAGTGCCTCACTTTTGCTGAAGCTTACTTTGAACTCGAAATCCTCCTGCCTCAGCCTCCCCAGCTGCTGGGATTATAGGTGTGTGCCATCATGCCCAGCAGTAACCTATCTTTTCTTGAGATCTAATTTTTTTTTTATGACATGCTTTGGTATAGGTCTATTTACTTCCATTGTGCTGGATACTTTAAATTTAATAAAAGGGGAGACTCCTTTTAACTTAGAAACTGTTCTTTAATCTGATAATGCCTTTAAATGCTAGGAAATTTTCTTGAATAATTTTTTTCCTTCTATTTTCTGGATTTTCTCTCCAGGACAGGTATTAATGTTCAGTCTTTTAGATTGGGTCTCTTCTTGGCTTTTTAAAAATCTTTTTTGTCTTAAAAACTGACAT